AATGAGGCAGCAGCTTAGAAAAAGCATGATCAAAAGGCAGCGGCCGACATAATGTTTAGTTTACCAGAATCGTTCGGAACGTTTCGTTATGCCCTGGAAACTAGAAAACGTTGCAAATACTCGTGGTAATACAAAACCAGAACTGATTTTTGCCAGAGAAGCAAATAATTTGTGTTCTGAAGAGAAATCCAAATGGTGTTTGGGCAGAGGATGTACGTCGCATATGAGTGCTTAAGAAGATTTTTACGAATATGAAAATAATTGATCAGACTCAGAAAATTGTAACTACCCAGAAGAGATGTAGAGGACATTTGAAACTTGAAAGATTTGGAAGATGGGGAAGACCCCAAAAAAAAATTATTCCATACGGAAGATTATGGAAGATGAGGTCGAAGGTAATCAATACCTATACTATGAAGGCGTTCGAACAAAGATGTATGAACCCTTAAATGTGGAAAGGCCTCAGTGAGATACAATTGTGGGAAGTCGATTAGATGAGCGGTTGTCGTCGATTGGACTTCTGGATGCTTTTGGAGTTGAATGTGACTTGGTCATCCATCATGCGAATGTGGTGACGGCAAATGGTTGTAGCGAAATTACCAAGGAATTGCTAGAATTAAGTCTAAACCCAACTGCTCAAGATCCACGTATATTCTCGAAGAGAGATGGCCGAAACGTTTTGTTAATATCCAAAGAATTTAACGATCTATTGTTGGCCTCCAATGAACCGAAGTAGATAAATTCCATTAGGAAGACACTATCGAAATCGTTTCATTTTTTAAGTCATCAAAAAATATTGTTGAAAAATTGAAAAAATTAGGTCTCTAACAATATTTTTTAAAAAAATCCACGCCTATTTTTACGCCTTTAAAATATTATTTAAAAAATTCACGCCTATTTTTAAGACTTTAAGATAAAAAAATATAAAATAATCCCCGCCTAATTTAGGCCTCTAAAAATCCACGTCTATTTTATGTCACTAAAGATAGTTTAAAAAATCCTAAAATAGTTTTAAAAATCTCACGACTAGGCCTCTAATTCTTATACCCTTCACCACACTGTGGTACAGGGTATTATGTCCTTGTGCATATGTTTGTAACAGGCAAAATGAATCGAGATAGACCGCAGATTCTTTTTGGGAATATGCATAGAATCACTTTCTGAGTCGATTTACGCATGTCCATCCGTCCATGTATTTTTGTAAACAAAGTACAGTTCGTATTTATGATCCGATTTGAATGAAATTTGGCACATTTGGCAAATTGAAGAAAATCGGTTCAGATTTAGATATAGCTCCCACATATACAGCCTTATTCTGGATGTCAATTCCATGTGAATTTACTCGCTCTTTCCCTTCGCCTTATTCTGAACAACATTTTCCTGTGTTTTTCGCATTCTCGCTTTCGCCTTATTCTGAATGAAGTTCGAAAGCGAAAAAATCCGCTTTGGGGAAAAATTAGGTATTCTGAATTACAGAGAGTAGGAGAATGAGATGAAATTTTGTGCGAAATTTTTCGCTAATAAATTTAAAGGGAGTTGACTACAAAAACATAAGTAATAACTATTTTTATGAAAAATATTTACACAATACTTATTCTATAACGATTTAGAATATTATAAATGATAGTAAGCAAATTTTTAACTGGAAAACAACCAATAAAATGCCATTGGAAATCCCATTGATAACGATGCATGCTGAACCAAGTATTGCAAAGAAATGTATGAAGGTAATAAGGAATATTTAAGTCGAGTTTGATTTTTGGAGGCGAAATACAGATATTTTGGGTGAGGATCTGTCTCTCAAGAAAAAAATTGTAAAAATTATTGAAAACCCAAATTTGCCTTATGAGCCGCTTAACAGTGAAAAACTTAAATAAAAAATATGAAAGGACAAAAAAAAAAATTGTTTTCAAAAGCAAATCATAACATAACAGGCCACTTTAAGAATTTGGGGAGATAAAATATCGGAATTAAATAAAAAGGCACACAATTATGTAGTGAAACTGTGAATTAATTAATTAAATCGCAGATTTCTTCCTATTATTCGTTGTGTTTTTGCCATCATAAAAAATGTTCTTTTATTTGTAATCTATTGTAGTTGATGCATGGTATAATAATAGAAGGTAACAGCAAGTGTTGTTGTACAAAAAACGATACAACAACCACATGGAAATTTGTTTTTGTAAGTTCTACTAGTGTCAACTCATTTGACAGAAAAATGTAAACAAATAAACAAATTATCATCAAATTATTTTTATTTTGAAAATGAAATATTTTCGAATCCTCAAAATAAAAATTGAAAAACATGAATGAAAATCTATCAAATTTATATTTCTATCGCTTCCACATCTTTTCTATAATTGAGCCATTGCCATATATACATATGTGTAACACATATGAAAATGCTGGGAGTAGCGAGCTATTCCTTGAAGAAAGATTTGCTTCCTCAAACTTTCCCAGCAGGCAGATTGAGTAAATTGTATACAGGAGCACATTTAATAAAGAACAATTTCAAATTGTATGCGTTCCCAATTTTCCTGTTGGGTGATTTTTAAAAACATAATTTGTCAAATTCATATTGACACTAGTATTACGTTGGCATCAAATCAGCTGGGATTTGATGTTACCTTTTATAATTGTACCATGTAGTTGTTGCAACAAATTCCATCAAAACAATGAACAGCTGTTTCACATGCCATATTGTAGGTTGCCATATTTGCAAACTTTAATTTATTTTCTTTTAATTACAAAGCATTTATACAGCGGATTCTTGATATTTCCCATTTGTATTGCTATATAGTTTAAATAACAATAAAAAGTAACAATTTTTAATAACAAAAATCAATAAATAATATATTGAAAAATGTTACACAATTAAATTACAATGGGGCAACACACATTGCAACTTAAATTACAATATGGCCACACACATTGCAACTTAATTTACGATATGGCTGAATACGAATCTTTTTTTCAACCACCATTTTCGAAAAATTGAATCCGCATCTCGCATTTTTTGCATCTCTCTATTCATTCAGAATAAGGCGAGAATGTGAAAGCGAAAATTTTTTACATGCGAGATATCTCCCTAGCAAATATCCAGAATAAGACTGATAGTTTCTTCCGATTTTAGGTAAATGGTGCACCAAACTCCCAATATTTGTCCGACTGCGACAAAATTTTGCACAGAGTACTGAATTAGTTCTAGATTCATAAATACTCAGTTTTGTTGAAATCGGTTCAGATTTACATATAGCTTCCATATATAGTGAGATAAATTTTTCACAGAGTATTGAATTAGGTCCGGATTGATGTATGAGATTTTTTTTTTGAAATCGGTTCAGATTTAGACATTGCTCCCATATATAGTTTCGTCCGATTTTAGGTATATGGTGCTCCAACTCCCAACATTTGTCCCATTGAGACAATATATTACACAGAGTACTGAATTAGGTCTAGATTGCTGTCTGCCAAGTTTTGTTGAAATCGGTTTAGATTTAGATATAACTCTCATACATAGTTTCATCCGATTTTAGGTAAATGGTGCACCAAACTCCCAATAATTGTCCGATTAAGACAAAATTTTGCAGAGAGTACTGAAATAGATCTAGATTGATACATGTTGAATTCGGTTCAGATTTAGATATAGCTTCCATGTATAGGTTCGTCCGATTTTAGGTAAATGGTGCACCAAACTCCCAATAATTGTCCGATTAAAACAAAATTTTTGCAGAGAGTATTGAATTAGGCCCAGATTGATGTATGTCAAATGAGACGAAATTTTGTACAGAGTACTGAATTAGGTCTAGATTGATGCATGTCAAGTTTTGTATTGGATTTTGTGTCGAGAGGCCTAGAAATATTTTTTTTCATAAATTTTAGATTAGTACCCAAAGTGGTGAAGGGTATCAAATAGTCGGCCCCGTCCGACTTTTGAACATTCCTTACTGTTTATTTATAAATCCATGGCTATTTTTAGCCCTCTTAAATAATTTTTAAACAAATCCACGCCTATTTTTAGGCCTCTTAAATAATTTTTTAAAAACCCCACGCTTATTTCTAGGCCTCTGAAAATCGTCTGTAAAAATCCACGCCTTTTTATGGCTCTAGAAATATATTTTTTTAAATCTACGCCTATTTTTTATACCTCTAGAAATATTTTTTTTTAATCTACGCCTATTTTTTATACCTCTAAAAATATGCTTTAAAAATTCACGCCTATTATTAGGGCACTATAAATTTGTAAAAAAACTCCACGCCTACTTTTACATTATAGTGCTTAAAAGAAGAGTATCCAATTAATTATTTATTTATTATAAGATTTTGTTTTAAGAAAAAAATAAAATAAAATAAATGAGCAGATCAATATTAAAATGCCTCCAATTAAATATTGACTAAAAGCAATCATTTACAACATTTTTATTTTATTAAATTCTAATTTTTATTGCCAATCGATCCATCCATTCGATTGTGGATGACCATGTAATGGGCTTGGTAATAAAAGAACAGCAATATTCGTTTACATTTGAAAATCCAAAAACCCATAATCGAACTCTGCAACAGATTGTAAAAATGTTTTGGTATGATCAAACATGTTGTGTTGTTGTATAGTTAATTGTCATTAGCATTAGCTAAGCTTGGCCGGCCGACCGTCCGTTAATAGTTAAGCTAAGCTATGCCGCAATGTTAATAACAGTTGAGTTTTAAACATCAACCCGAACGGTTGGCGAGAAACGGAAAATTAAGAAAAAATAAAAATTATTAAATTTTCAATATAAAATAATAAGAATCTATGAAACGACTTAAAGAAAGAAATTAATATTAAAAAAAATATTATTATATAAATATTAAAAAAAGTAGTGAATAGATATTTCTGTGACACATACACAATCTAAAAGGAATTACGAACGGAGGTGTATGGTTGGCAGATTGTGAAAAAACACAGAATATAATTTCACTGAGTAGTGTTAGAAATTAAATTAAAAAAGTGTGCAATGAAAATGCTAAAATATCTATTAAAATTATGTTTATTGCTGTTGTTGGCCATTTCAAATTTGTCATTGGCTAGTGCTGACGCTGTGAAAAGTTTTGAAACACCACCATCAACATATTTGACTCCAAATGAAGTGTTGTTGTTTCGTGGAAGTTTAGAATTCATCAAGGATACGAATTGTCAACGTGATTTAAATATCACTCTATGGGGTCTATTAAACAATGCCCAGTGGGCTGTATCGAGTAAGTCAATACAGAATTGAAAGACATGTGTATTGGGCATGCAAAATTGTTTACTATTTGATTTAGTTTTCGATCTTTATTGTTTACTTAGTGTTTTAGTTTATTATAAAAAATAAATATATATATATATATATAGAAGTCGCCTTTTCGAAAGAACATTGAAATGAAATTGAACGAACTCGAATATGTAATATTTATGTCTTTCTGGAACCTATGCTAAATTTCATTTCATTTGGACAAGTTTAGAGTCGTTTGCGTACAATGGGACAAATTTATGTAAAATCGAAAGAAAATACATATGGGAGCTATATCTAAATTTGAACCGATTATCACGAAACTTTACACACATTATTCTAGACTCAATTCAATACACTATGCAAAATTTCGTGAAAATCGAAAGATATATAGAGACTTTGGTACACCATTTACCTTAAATATGGGAGCTATATCAACATCTGAACGAATTTTCAGGAAACTCAGCACGCATCATTCTAGACTTTATTCTTCAGTGCGCTATGCCAAATTTCGTTTACATTAAATCGGGCGAATATATATATATATATATATATATATATGGGAGCTATATCAACATCTGAACCGATTTTCAGGAAACTCAGCACACATCATTCCAGGCTCTATCCAGTAGGCTATGCCAAATTTCGTGCATATCAAAAAATATATAGGGACTTTGGTACACCATTTATATTAAATCGGACCAAAATATATATGGGAGCTATATCTAAATCTGAACCGATTTTTCCCAATTTCAATAGGTTTCCTCCTTGGACCAAATAGATGAGCTGTGCCAAATTTCGTCCAATTTGGATGATAAATGCGACCTGTACATTGTTTACAATTTAACATGGACATACAGACAGACGGACGGACGGACTTACGGACATGAATAAATGGACTTAGAAAGTGATCCTATGCATATTCTCAAATGGAACCATGTGTATATCTCGTTTCCTTTCGTCTGTTACAAACATATGCACAAAGACATAATACCCTGTACCACAGTGTGGTGAGGGGTATACAAATGCTCGGTACTGTTGACAGATATATAGCCTCACCCTACACATATTAAGTCTCTAAATATATTCTGTAATAAATCTTAGCCTATTTGTATGTCTCCAAAAATATTCATTAATAAATCTGAGCCTATTTGTATGTTTCCAAAATTTTCCTTAATAAATCTGAGCCTATTTGTATGTCTCCAAAAATTTCTTTAATAAATCCACGCCTATTTTTAGGCCTCCAAAATATTCTTTAATAAATTCAGCCTATTTGTCAAGCCTCCAAAAATATTCTTAATAAATCCACGCCTATTTTAGGCCTCTAAAAATTCATTAAGAAATTCACACCTATTTTCAAGCCTCCAAAAAATTCTTTAAGAAATCCACGCCTATTTTTAGGCCTCTAAAAAATTCTTTAGGAAATCCAAGATTCTTTAAAAAAACGCCTATTTTTAGGCCTCTAAAAAATTCTTTAAGAAATCCACGCCTATTTTTAGGCCTCTAAAAAATTCTTTAGGAAATCCAAGACCTATCCAGGCCACTTTTCTTTAAAAAAATCCGCCTATTTTTAAATATATTCTGTAATAAATCTTAGCCTATTTGTATGTCTCCAAAAATATTCATTAATAAATCTGAGCCTATTTGTATGTTTCCAAAATTTTCCTTAATAAATCTGAGCCTATTTGTATGTCTCCAAAAATATTCTTTAATAAATCCACGCCTATTTTTAGGCCTCTAAAAATTCTTTAAGAAATTCACACCTATTTTCAAGCCTCCAAAAATATTCTTTAATAAATCCACGCCTATTTTAGGCCTCTAAAAATTCATTAAGAAATTCACACCTATTTTCAAGCCTCCAAAAAATTCTTTAAGAAATCCACGCCTATTTTTAGGTCTCTAAAAATTCTTTGAGCAATCCACGCCTATTTTTAGGCCTCTAAAAATTTTAAGAAATCCACGCCTATTTTTAGGCCTCTAAAAATTCTTTAAGAAATCCAAGACCTATCCAGGCCACTTTTCTTTAAAAAAATCCGCCTATTTTTAGACTGCTAAAAAATTCTTTAAACAAATCCGCCTACTTTAAGGCCTCTAAAAGTATTATTTAAAAAATCTACGCCTATCGCTAAAAATATTTTTTTTTTTAAATCCTCGACTAATTTAGCCGCTAAAATATCTTTTAAAAAAATCCACGCCTATTTTTATGCATTTTGAATCGTCCGTCCGGTGTTCATGGCGCAGAATATTAAAACAAAATAGATGCACGTTTTAATAATGTCTACGCATAAATAATTACTTTTATTCAAATCGCTTTTAAATTAATGAAAGAAAATTATTTACATTTTTTTTTAATCAGCTTAAATAAAATGAAGATTATTCATCTATGGTTAATTATTATCAATAGGAATATTTAAAAGTTGGCCTTTTCACAATTTGGCAAAGAAATTTTTACCGGTTCTGCTTTTAGGTAAATATTAAAAAAAATCACCTTAAATTAGTAAATAATAACAACCCATTTCTCTAAATTCTAATTCTGGTACTGACATTTGTTGTAGCATATGGTGGTATCCGAATCAAAAAAAAACCTGTTCTAATTAATTTTAAAAGTTTATGTTAGGATATTTTTATTTTTAAAATTCCAATATATTCACCTTTGCAAATAGCCACCATATAAAGAAAGTATTTTATTGTTTATTTCCTATTGATATTAAAAAAAAAAAACAAAAACAAATAAACGAAACAAGAACGTCAACAACCCGTCTCTCTGTCTGGCCAAATCGTAACACACTACGTCATTAATTTTAAAAATGATTTGCAATGGTGATGTGATGCTAATTTCCTAAAAAAATATCATTTTTTCTACTACTACAAATAAATTAAAAGCCATTAGTAGACAAAAAAAATATTTATTGTTATCATCAAATAAATGCATTTCAATTTCGTTGCACTTCTTTGTAATGTATTTTTGTTGTTGGTGTTGACAAATTGAAAACAAAAGAATCTGCCATAAAGGTTCCAGGTACTTATTGTCTACTCCGTATAGAATATCAAATATTTGTTTTTTTGTGTGTTTTGTTTGTGTCTTTTGAATGAATTAGTTACATCTTTAATAAATTTCCGCTATTTATATATATATATATATATATATATACTTTTTTAAATCGATATTTTTTCGCACGTTAACACTTTTTTGCAAACATTTGTTAATTGAAGTGGTCATGTTTACATGGTACTTTGCTAAAGAGAGCTGCGTTCTGAAAATAAACAGAAAAAAAACTAATATAATACGGAAATTTGTATTAGGGAGGAAATTCCCTTCTGGGAAAAGTCTCGCTAATAAAAACCAGTAAGGAAAGTTTAAAAGTCGGACGGGCCAACTATATGATACCCTTCACCGTCCTAAATTTGCCTCTTTGGTGCTTCATTTACATAAAATCCGACGAAACTATATGAGGGGCAATATCTAAATCTGAACCGATTCCAACAAAACTTCGCATACATCAATCAGCGCCGGACCAATGTGGCAGTATGGTGCTCCATTTACATACATTGGGACGAAACTATATATAGAAGCTATATATAAATCTGAACCGATTTCAACAACAAAACTTGGCAAGTATCAATCTAGACCTAATTCAGTACTCTGTGCAAAATTTTGTATCAATCGGACAAATATTGGGAGTTTGGTGAACCATTTACCTAAAATCGGACGAAACTATGTATGGGAGCTATATCTAAATATGAACTGATTTCGACAAAGCTTGGTATGCATCAATCTAGACCTAATTCAACACTCTGTGCAAAATTTTGTCTCAATCGGACAAATATTGGGAGTTTGGTGCACCATTTACATAAAATCGGACGAAACTATATATGGAACTATATCTAAATCTGAACCTATTTCAACAAAGCTTTGCTAACATCAATCTGGGCCTAATTCAATATTCTGTGCAAAATTTTGTCTCAATCGGACAAATATTGGGAGTTTGTTGCAGCATTCACATAAAATCGGACGACTCTATATTTGGGAGCTATATCTAAATCTAAACCGATTCCAATAAAACTCCGCACACATAAGCATGGACCTGTTTCAGTAAGCTGTGCAAAGTTTTGTCTCAATCGGACAAATATTGGGAGTTCGGCGCACCATTCACATAAAATCGGAGGAAACTATATATGGGAGCTATATCTAAATTGAACCGATTTTAATAAAACTTCGCATGCATCAATCTGGGTCTAATTCAATACCATGTGCAAAATTTTGTCTCAATCGGACAAATATTTGCAGTATGGTGCTCCACTTACAAAAAATCGGACGAAACTATATATGGGACCTATATCTAAATCTGAACCAATTTCAATAGGGTCCGTCCTTGGGCCAAATAAGTGACTTGTGCCAAATTTCATCCAAATCGGAACATAAATGCGACCTGTACTTTGTTCACAAAAATACATGGACGGACGGACATGTGACAGAAAGTTATTATATGCATATTCTCAAAAGGAACCATGGGTCTATCTCGATTCCTTTTACCTGTTACAAACATATCCACAAAGACATAATACCCTGTACTTTTTTAGATTGCTGTGGTTTTTATTAAAAATATTTTTTAACTATACGCCAATGTTAAAGAAATTTTTTTTTTAAACTCAACATCTATGGATTTTTTTCGTAATTTGCCTATGAATAGAAGACCACTATAGGTCTTCTATAGACAGAAGATCATCTGAAAGGCAGGCCTTCTGAAGACAGAATCTGAGTGTCCTATGTGGACAGGAAAATATCTTAGGGCAATAAATAGACTGAAGATCTTCTTTTCAATAAATCCGCGCCTATCGATGGCTGTGACATCAATTTTTTAATAAATCCAATCCTATCGATGGCTATGAGAAATAATTTTCAAAAAATCGGCGCCTGTTGATGATTGTAAAAATATTTTTTAAAAAAATACATGCACATAAAAATATTATTTTTATTTCTTTCTT